ATGCGCTTCTCTAATATCTGTTTTACTCTAGTTGTTTTACAGTACATTTATAATATAAAACATATGTACACGCATGTATTAGAACACTAGAAAGAATAAAAGGTGACTTAGGGTTTTACTCTTGTCATCCCACCCCACCCCGACTTTTCTCTGAGAAGCACTGGCATAAACAGTATTCTGAAGCCCTTCGTCAGCTCTCAGAAGACTGATGTGCTACAGTACCGTCGCACACTGCCAGCTGTTCTACAGACAGGGTCTCAGATAGCTCAGGCTGGCCTCAAACGCACTAGGTAGCCAGGGATTCCAAGGATCCATGCTTTTTACCTCCTGGCTCCTAAAAACACACCTGAATGGACACTTCTTGAGCCTGTTGGACAGGACTGTCCCCTCCAACCTCCTCACTAGCTACCAGATTTCTCATGGTTTCAGTAAGCCTGATGTGGAGTCACAGCCAGCGTTGCTTGTGTCTGCAGCTGGCTTTCTCCCTAGAGGTGATCATCTTTTCTTTTGCTTTGCTCACTGTTAATGGTCACACACTCAGCTCCAAATTCTCCTCAATCCCCTCAGCTATGTAACTCCACACTCAAAGCATTCACACGTATGTAGCATTTATTTAGTTTCCTCTACTTGTAAAAATTCTAGAACCTTCTGGTGTGGCCAGGATCTTTCACAGAGTCCCACTTTGTCTTAATTTTCTTTCCCATTTCTTCCTTCCTTTTTCTCCCCCTTTTATCTGTTGGAGGTTGAGGGAGTGGCAGTGAGTTTGATAGTCTGGTATACACAGAGAGCACAGCAAAGACTACACAGAGAAACCTTGTTTCAAACAAAACAACAACAACAACAACCTGGGCTCAATTCCAAGTCATGGTGGCTCAAACTGTCAATAATTCCAGTTTCAGAGGACCCGATGCCCTTTTCTATCCTCCATGGACACCAGGCATGCATGTGGTATATACAGATTTACATTCGAGTAAAATACCCATACACATAAAATAAATAGAAAATACCCTAGGGAGATGGCTCAGTGGCTAAAGTGTTTGTTACATAAGTAACCACTTTGGATCAGCAGAAACTATGCAAATGCTGGCTGGGCATAGTGGCCCTGTAATCCCAGCATAAGGAAGGCAGAGACAAGGATACCGGAACTAGCCATATCAGTGAGCTCTGGGTTCAATATGAGACTCTACTTCAATACATAAGGAGAAGAGCAATTGAAGAAGACTCTTGACATCATACACAGACACAAGAACCTACATACATATATGTATGCACACTGCACATACATACATAGAAAAATTAAGATAAAACAAGACCTGGGGACTGGGTAGTCGTGGCGCACGCCTTTAATCCCAGCATCCAGGAGGCAGAGGCAGGTGGAACTCTGAGTTAAAGGCCAGCCTGGTCTACAGAGTGAGTTCCAGGACAGCCAAAAGCTACACAAAGAAACCCTGTCATGGGGGCTGGAGAGATGGCTCAGTGGTTAAGAGCATTGCCTGTTCTTCCAAAGGTCCTGAGTTCAATTCCCAGCAACCACATGGTGGCCCACAACCATCTGTAATGAGGTCTGGTGCCCTTTCTGGCCTTCAGGCATACAAAGAGACAGAATATTGTATGCATAATGAGTAAATAAATAAATATTTAAAAAAAAAAAAGAAACCCTGTCATGAAAACTTAACTGTCGCTGGGCAGTGGTGGCGCACGCCTTTAATCCCAGGGAGGCAGAGGCAGGCGGATCTCTGTGAGTTCGAGGCCAATCTGGCCTACAAGAGCTAGTTCCAGGACAGGCTCCAAACCAAAGAAAGAAAAAAAGAAAATGTAACTGTCTCTAGTTCAGACCCCTGCTTCTGAACGCCACTCTGCTCAGCAGCTTTCTCCCTGGGGGCTCCACCCGTATGTTCAAAAGTGAATTTTTGTTATTTCTCTTCTTCATGTCTCTCATCTTCCCCGTGAGCTGGGTCAGGGACTAGAAACCATCCTCTGCATCCTCCACTCCCCCACTCACATCCACCAGTCACTAAGCTTCTCTTGGCCAACAGTCAAGACAAATCTTACAAATAGCCACTGCTCCCCCAGGCTGTGCCAAGGCCTCTACGCACTGCCATCTCCCAGCTTCCATATCTTCCCTTCAATCAGTTCTCCTAGGAGCAAGGAACCTAGCTGTTATTAGGTCTCTACTAAAATTTCCTTGTTCCAAGATTTGTTTTCTTAACTGAATGTTTTCACTATATTTGTGTGCTACGTGCGCATTCATGAGTGCAAGCGTACCAAGGCATGCATGTGAAGGCCAGAGGACTTGTTGGTTCTCTCCTTTATCATGGGCATCCTGGGGTTTGAACTCAGATGCACAGGCTTGGCAGCAAACACTTTTACCCGCTGAGTCATCTTGCCAGTCCGTATGATGCCTTTCTGACCCCCCCCCAAGCTCCACAAAACCTTCTGTGTTTTGTCTTGCAATCTGGCTGCTTCTTGTCACAGCTGCATTACAGGAGGTGATTGTGGTTTTTCTGTTTTATTTTAAAGACACCATGTTCATAAGCATGCTTGAGGATGGCAGTGAATCCCCTAGAGCTGGAATGGTAGGCAGCTGTGCACCATCTGATGTGGGTGCAGGGAACTGAAAGTGGGTTCTCTCCAAGAGCTGTCCGTGCTAATGGCTGAGCTATCTTTCCAGTGCGTTGACTATCTACATATAGCGTAGAAGTGGTTGCTAGAACTGGTTCTCCCTACTGGGGTGTATAAGCCTTAGTGAGAGCAAGGACCTCTTGGGTACCCAGCTATGGACAAAGTACCTGATATAAAAACAAATCTGATGAACTAAATAATAAACAAACAAGTGAATCTTATGGTATAAAAATTCTTCATGTGATGTCAGAGGTGACAGAAAGCATATGATACACATAGTATTTTTTTTAAAGATCAAATCTAGGGACTTGTACATACTAAACAGGCATTCTTTTTTTTAATTATTTATTTTATGTGCATTGGTGTTTTGGCTGCATGTATGTCTGTGTGAGGATATCAAATTTTGGAGTTATAGACAGTTGTGAGCGTCCATGTGGGTGCTGGGAATTGAACTCAGGTCCTCTGCAAGAGCAGTCAGTGCTCTTAACCACTGAGCCATTCCTCCAGCCCTATACAAAGTATTTTTAAACTGTATTTTAGACTCTGTTCAATGTTACAGACTCTCTCAAAGGACATTATTAAGTCAAATGTATTAATGTTCTAAAAATGTTTAAAACGTATGAGAATACTTATTTCTGCCACGCCTTCTTTGCTCTTGCAGGGCTGTGAGATATTTCTAAGTGCAAATATCTGAATTTTCTTTGGATCTCTTAGGGGCCAAAAGCACTGAATGAATATACTGAAGCGGCTCATAAAACTGTTAGTCTTGACATGTGGAACTAAGAAAATTCTGTTTCTAGATGCCCGTTTAGTAGCATAGGAACCAGAACCTTTGGACCTGGTTCAGGGTTGCCTCTGCCGCCTCTTGCTAGTGAGGAGACACTGGACAGATTATCCCAGATATGTATAAAGCACCTACAGTTTCTCAGGCTGCAACTGTCTATAGCTAAGTATGTGGCATAATGGTCCTGTGTCACCTGCTCCTACTGACGTCAGCTCCACGGGCTGGGAAGGAGAGCAACAAGTAACACAGTACAGCTGTCTCCATGAGGCCACTGCCTCTGCGGAAGCTCAGGCCTGGGCAAGTGTGCCAGACTGAACCCAGCTCAGGGCAAGCTGGCCTGGTCATTTGCTGTTCACATCAGACCCTACTCAATGGGAGGCCCATCTGTGATACAGATGACAAAAGCAGACAGACCAAGAGTTGGATGCTACCAGTACAGCCCTGGACCTCAAAACCAGTGGGGGCAACAGTCCTATTTTCAGGGTTTTGGCCACAATAAGCCTCCCTGCCTCTCAGTTCTTCCACACAGAATCTCTCTATTCCACCCAATTCTTATTTTCAGATGTGGTCACTCAAACCTTTAAAGTACAGATTTTCCTCCAACAACATGTAGCCCTAGACAAACCCCTGACTTCATCTACTCTCAAATTCATCTATTTTTATCTGTGGTATTGAGTTAGGGTAAGCCTCACCTCTTCATCTGATGTTTGGCATCGAGTGCATGGGCCAGGCATCCATGGCCTGACCCCTCTGAGGCTGGGAGCCCAAACAAACCTATTTTGCCTTGGGTTGTTTCTTGTAGTCTTCAAGTCAATGACATTCACTCATAACAAAGTCTGTCTGCTGGTCACTGAGTTCCCCAGCAGGATAATCTCCTGATTTCCTTTCTGAAAGCAATAGAATCCCCAATGCTGTTCTAGTCTTCTTTTTCTTTTAGCTCTGGCTGTATTGTAACTCACTCTGTAGACCAGGCTGGCCTCGAACTCATAGCTCCACCTGCCTCTGCCTCCTTAGTGGAGGAATTAGAGGTGTGGCTGATGTTCTATTATTCTTGATGGTTACATTCCCCCCTGAAGAAAAATGGGATGCTTCTACTCAAAATCTCTGGGGCAAGTGATACAAGTCCAAAGGAAAGTCCCCAGGCAGAGCCTACAAAACTGATGCACCAAGATATCGCTCACAGTGAGTGTGTGCAGGCTACTACCTAGTAAAGTCCATTCCTGCCCTCTACTCTGAAGGCATAGCCTTCTATGGGAAATCTAGGAGGAACGAGCCTAATACAGGAATGTCTTCTCTGTGATTCTTCCTGCAAAAAGGAATGGGTCACGTCAAAAAGAATCCCAACCAAACAGACAACAACAAAAAACTCCAAGACAACGAACTCTATGCACTCCTACTTATCAGCTACCTAGGCTCCTGGTGGTCATGGGAGATCCAGGAAGACCATCTATCTGCAGGCCTCCTTCCTGAACAGCTTGCTATCATATCATGCTTTTCAGATCCTCTCTTACTGTGACACCCCAAACTGTAGCCACCTGACTACTGGAAGGCCCAGGATGTAGGGCCCTGGGACATTCATTCATTTGCCACTCACCAGCACTGGGGTCTGTGGGTGTCTCACCCTCCTCAGAGTCCTCTTGTTCCTGCATGGCTGGCCTTTCTCCACGCTCCATCTGTGACATGAGGTCTGGTTTGGATATTGCATAGTCTGGGCAGAAGGAAGGAAAGAAAATATTCCATGGTAAGAGGTGGCACTGTATTCTGTAAAGGTATCATTTGAGGGGATGTGACCTAGAACAGCCCTTCTTCCAGGGACTAGCAATGCTGGAAAATAAATGGGCAAGGATCCAGCCTCCTGCTCCAGGCCCTGTGCACGCGTTTTTCATGCTGTTCACAGGTACTGAAGCTTGCTCAGGAGCTTCATGACAAAATTCAGATTGTATGAAGCAAGAACTAACTCTGATAAAGTATAAAATTCATAAAACAAAATACTGATGAGTTTCTTATATAGAAAAGGGTTGCCAATCATGATGGCTCATGTCTGTTATGCCAGCACTTGGGAGGCAGAGACAGAACTGCTGTGAGTCCAATGCTGGCTTGGGCCACAGAGGGAGAGCCTGTACCCAAGAAAAAAAATTTAAAAACAAAATAAGAGGCCAGATGTGTGGCATGCACACTTAAGTTTCAGCACTGGGAGACAGAGGTAAGCAGAGCTCTGTGAATTCAAGGTGAACCTGGGCTATACTGTGAGTTTCAGGTTGGCCAAGGCTACATAGTGAAACCCTGTTTACAAAAGAAAAAGTTAGGGCAGGCATGTAGCTCAGTGGTAAAACATGTGCTTTACATATATGAGACCCTAGGTTCAATTCTCAATACTTCTCAAAAAGTTTAAGATTATTTTAAAATAAAAAGATGAAGAAATGTGGCAGAAATATTAGAAACATACACACTCATCTCATATAGCAAATGATTAATTCATAATTATACAGAAGTAACCTTATAATCAGTGAAAAAGGAGCAAAAGTATGAATAGGTAATTCACAGGAGACAAATGACTTGCAATCACATAGAAAAAATGTACAACTTCACTAACCACCAAATAAATACACTCGAATAAAAATAGTATCAGTTTTTCATTATCGAAAGGACAAATATTTGCCTATATTAAGTACTTGGAACGGAGAGGAATCAGGAGTTCAAGGTCAGCACATCTGAGGCCAGTCTGGGTTACAAAATCTTGTCTCACAAAACAAAACAAAACACGACAGAGATTTAAAACAACAGAATAAACAAGGGTGTGAAGAAATCCATTCTCATGTGCCGCTGCAGACAAGACCACTCAGCCATCTAGGAGGCACCACGGTGGTACATCTCTCACCCCAAGCCCACTCCACATCTGTACTGTCGATCACTGGGTCGATGCACAGATTTACAGGGCTGTTTATCACAACAGCAGCAAGACACAGAAGCAGCATGGCTCAGCAGCCGTACAGTCAAAAGCCAGAGTTCAGAGGACTAGAGAAAAGGCTCAGGGGTTAAGAACACTTGTTGCTCTTGCAGACAATCGGGTTAGGTTTCTAGAACCCACGTGGTGGCTCACAATCACCTTTAACTCGAGTTCTAGGGGAGTTCAATGCGTTCTTCTGATCTCCATGGGCACCAGGCATGCATGTGGTACACATGCTAACATGAAGGCAAAAACAATCAAAACATATTTTTTTAAAAAAGCCACAGTTCACCTGGATACTGTACCTTCTTTCCAAGGGTTGTGGCCTACAGGTGCTGATAAAGAAAGCTGTCCCCTGGTCCAATGTAAGGTACTGTAAGTGAATGGTTGCCTTCGTGCAAACTCCACACTACATGTGTAAGATGAGAAAGGACACAATCTAAAGGGGACACTTCCTTTGTGGGGTGGCGATAGCGAGTGCATAGTGGTTGTTCTTTGTTACTGCAAAGTGGTAACTTTTCATAATTATGCCACTATTTAAAAAAACATAAATTTTTAAGAAGAGTAATGTTAAGCTATGGAAAAATATGTCTAAAATTACCTTTTCTAGCATAAATCAGTTTGCTTAAGTCTACAGGCATTTTTGCCTACACGTCTGTTTGTCCAACATGTATACAGTGCTATAGAGGCAAGAGGGCATCAGATCCTTTGGAACTGAAGTTACACGTGGTTGTGAGCTACTTGTGGGTGCTGAGAATCAAATCCAGGTCTTTGGGAAGAGCAGCAGGTGCTTGTAATATAAGCTCTCTCTCCAGCCCCATATTTATTTAGTTTTATTTTATGTGTATAAATGTTTGCTTACATGTCTGTATGTGTACCATGTGTGCCTCATACCCACAGAGGCCACAGATAGTTGCCATGTGGGTGCTGGGAACCAAACTGAAGTCCTTTGCAAGAGCAGCAAGTGCTCTTAACTGCTGAGACACTTCTAGCACCTGAATCAAAGTCTTTGTCCAACAGTGTACTCGGCATGCAAACATTTCTCTCGTGTTTGTGCACAGGCGTACTCACCTGTGTGCAGGTATGGAAGCCAGAGTTTCACACCAGGTGTCCTTCTCTTTACTTTCCCTCATTTTTTGTTTGTCAAGACAGGGTTTCTCTGTGGCTTTGAAGCCTGTCCTGGAACTTGCTCTGTAGACCAGGCTGGCTTCGAACTCTCGAGATCCTCCTGCCTCTGCCTCAGGAGTGCTTGGATTAAAGGTGTGTGCTACCACTACCAATCTCCTTCCTCATTTTCGAGGGGGGGGTGGGGAGGTGGGGGGGGTGTCTCTCCCTGACCCTGAAGCTGTTTTGACTAGACTGGCTAGTAAAGCTCCAGGCGCCTCCAGCACTGGAGATACAGATATACATCACTATGTCTCGCTTTTATGTTGAGTGGTGGTAATCTTTACTCAGGGTTCCTGTGCTGGCACAGCAAGCTCTTTATCTACTGAGACCCTCAGAATTTTCTTTTATCTTTATAAAAAAAATTTACACATGAGAGAAAATGATACATACGAAAGAAAGTCCATCTTTCAATTTTCTTGTCCCTTCACGTTTTTAATGAAAACAAGAACCAACAGACCTTGGTATAAGACAGACTTCTATGAGACTGTGACTTCCTAATGCGAACCAGGACCCTGGGGCCATATGGCCTCAGTAAGTGAGAGTGTTCAGCTGTATGGGTGAGAAAACTAGGTCTCTGGTCTTGTCCTCAGTCCCTCACTACATGTTATTCTTGGGAAGCATTTCACACCCTGATGACACACAGTAGGCCCTCAGTACATCTGTCTCTTCTACAGACTTTCCTTTCAATAATAATTTCCTAGATAAATGAATTTTGTGAGCAGGATACAGGGGAAATGTTCTGATGGAGAAGCCCACCATCGTCTAGCCAGCTTTCCCCTGCTGCCCCCAGTGCTTCTCCAGAGTGTGGTGTCTCTAGGTATAGATTGTTCCAGCTGTGCCATACTGATATACAAGAGTATGTGAGAGGCCTGGTTTTGTTGTTCTTGTTGTTTTATTAAGCAATTTAAAAATATTATTTTTATTAATTTTAATAATAAAATTAATTTTAATTCAAAAATATTTTTTAAAAACATTTATTTATTTATTATGTATACAATATTCTGTTTCTGTGTATGCCTGCAGGCCAGAAGAGGGCACCAGACCCCATTAAAAATGGTTGTGAGCCACCATGTGGTTTCTGGGAATTGAACTCAGAACCTTTGGATGAACAGCCAATGCTCTTACCTCTGAGCCATCTCTCCAGCCCCCTAATGTTACTCTTTTTAAAAGAAGAAATTATCTTACTTTTAATTACATGTACATGTATGTTTGTGTACATGTGATTCCAGGTGCCTATAAAGTTCAGAAGAGAGTGTCAGACCTTTGGAGCTGGCCTTACACGTAGTTGTAGGCTACCTGATGTGTGTGCTGGAAACTTCTAACCACTGAGCAACTCTAACCCATCTGTGGCACTCTTTAAAATTCTGTTTGCAGGCGGGGAGATGGTTCAGGTGGTAAAGTGCCTGCTCATTATGAATGAGAACAAAGCTCGATGCCCAGCACCCATGTAAAAGCCAGGTGTGGTGGTGACCATCTGTAACCCTAGTGCTGGTGGGGTCGGGGGTTGGGGGAAACAGAGAGGTCCCAGAAGCACACTGGCCAGCCAGCCTAGTCAGGTGAACTAGCTCAGTGACAGGCCTCATCTCAAAAACTAAGAACAACATTTGACATTTGATGTGGGAGGCAGAGGGAGATTGACCTCTGTGACTTCAAGGTGTGGGTAGCACACGCCTTTAATCCCAGTGCCTAGAAGGCAGAGACAAACGGTTCTCTGTGAGTTCAAGGTGTGGTAGCAAACACCTTTAATCCCAATGCCTGGGAGGCAGAGACAGGCAGATCTCTGAGAGTTCAAGGAGAGCCTGGTCTACAGAGTTATTCCAGGTCAAAGAAATACAGAGAATATAAAAGTAAAAATAAAAGAAGTAAAGGTTAAAATAAAACGTACAAAGATGGAAAATACACAGAGAATCTTGATACTGTATACTATTATGCTCTCTTTGAATTGTTTGAATGCTGAAGAAGCAACAGATGCTAAAAGATATTTGTTTATAAATGCTGCTGAACTAATCCATCGTCGAGATTTTGATGCCTTGACTTTGAAATTTGGATCTAAGGACATGATACTTTGGAGAGGAGTTTCTTTTTTTGTTCTCACAGAGGATGAGACCCTGTTCATTTCTTCTATTCCGATATGGTATGATGGACCACGCCCTCCTGAACGGTTGCTGTGAATACCTTCAGAAAATTGCTTCGCTCAACTTCCAACTGAGATGAAACTAGCACACAGGTTATACCATGAAAGACCTAATTAACGACGCCCCCATTCAGCAGGAAGCAGTTTGGAGAGAAAAAACTACACCCATGTTCCCAAATATTGTGTATAAATGTTCTTTTACATTTAAAGGGGGATATGATATAGATATGAATAATTTGCATTAGTATAGATTTTGCTTTATTGATAGAAATTTAAGGTTAATTTTGTAATGTATATAGATTGTTAATGAATAATCATTAATAGTAGTTAAGTTTGTAGTTATGTTAGTTAAGATTTTCTAGATGTGCATAGATATATTTTAGATAGGCATTCTTCATATTTTTCAAAGATTATAGAATATGGCATTTTAAATGTTTTAATAACTTAGGACTTTTCATGACAATGAGACACTCTGCTCCTGGCAGCACCAATCTACTTCAAGAGGAAGATGGGCATCAAAGAGGAACCTTATGGAGTTTGATAGCCATTTGGGCAAGAAACTGCTCTTGCCTGGACTATTGCATAAACTGGACACAGAGAACCCGCAGAGAGAGGACTGCTGAACTTGCCTAAAGGTGAGATGATCTTTCGGGGTTCCTGATTCATGAAAGAGTCTGCAAGACATTCTTCAGGACAAGCAGATAGTGACTGCCTTTGAAATTTCCTGCTTTGTGGAAATGTCTGCTGGAAACTATGGGCCTGTAGGCCGAAGATGGATGCCCCAACGGTACAGAGGAACTTTGGGTGACTGTCCAGACAGCGAGATGTCTCTGTCATTTCTAGAGTTTGAGAGTTTGCTTATTTCTTATTTGCTTAGGTAATATTGTATCTTTCTGGACTCTTTGATGGAGTTAAGAATAGTTAGCTATAGTTATAGTTTTCCTTAGTTATGCTATAGATTATTGTAATTGTTACTTGATAACTGTTTTGTTATATGTAATTTTGCTATGTTAAGTTAAAGCCTTCTTTTTTTTTTGTTTAAACAGAAAAAGGGGAAGTGATGTGGGAGTGTCATATATCAATCTGTTGATTTCATTGGCTGAGCAATAAAAGAAACTGCTTGGCTGGCCCTCAGCTTAGAACATAGATGGGAGGAGTAAACAGAATAGAATTCTGGGCGGAAGAGGAAGTGAGGTCAGACTCTGCTCTGCTTCCGGAGAGACCAGACAGCTCTGCTGGAGCAGAGACGCCATGCTCAGCTCTCCCAGGCAGCTGCAACCCACGATGGACTTAGGCTAGAATCTTCCCGGTAAGCGCACCTTGGGGTGCTTACACAAATCATTAGAAATGGGCTAGTCCAGGTGCGAGAATTAGCCTGTAAGGGCTAGAGTTCATGGGCCAAGCAGTTCTTTAAATGAATACAGTTTGCGTGTTGTTATTTCGGGCATGAGCTAGCCAAGCGGCCGGGGTGTTGGGGACGCAGCCCCGCCGCCGCTTCTTATTTCAACAGACATTGACTGCTGGCTTCCACGTGTAGACATGCACACAACATAATACACACATACACAAAAACCAAGTAAAATTCTCTCTGAAGCAAGGTGTGATAGTGCATGTCTATAAATAATCTCAACATTCAGGAAGTTGAGGCAGCAGGATTATAAATTCAAGGGCAGTCTGGGATAAATGGTTGTTTCAGGCTAGCCTCTCTCAACAGAAAGATCCTATTAAACTTATCATATGCATGGCAGTGCATTCCTATAATCCTGGTACTAGGGAGGCAGAAGCTGGAGGATCTCAGCGAGTTTGAGGCCAGCCTGATCTACGCAGCAAGTTCTAGGTCAGCCAGGGCAGCTCTATAACAAAACAAAACAACTCATACATACAAACCTAAACTCAAACATGTACCCCCACCAATGAACCAAATAAAACCAAAACCAAACCAAATGTTTGCCTTCTTACCCATAGAGACCAGAGACTCATAGTTGCCCCTCATTACATTCTTGTAGAGCTCCTTCTGCCACTCAGAGAGGTTTCCCCATTCCTGCTCTGAGAAATGGACGGCGACATCATCAAATGTGACAGGGACCTGAAACCAAACAATTGGGTCAGACAAGACCAAAGGGATCTAATACCACAGACTGTTAAACCCCAGCTCCCCTTCTTAAGGACAGGAGAGGAAAGCCTTCCTCCCCTGCCCTTGCTTAGGGGCTTTACAGACTGGAGGATTCATCTTGCCCGGGGCCTTTCCCTGACTTTAAAACACGTGGCACCAGTAGCAACAGGGTACCTGCAGGAAATGCAGATTCTTAGGCCTTGCCCTGGACCTTCAGGGACCAGTGTGCCTTTAGTGAGGTCCTAGAGTTCTAATGCACACCAGCCCTCAGGAGGTACTGGCTTACAGTCTGTTTGGAACAAAAGGAAAACTGGTCTACACTCATGTTCCTTTAGAGCCGTCTGGAAAATAAGATGAAAGCCTGGTTCTTAGCTCCTCAAGGATACTTCCTGAATGAGCTTTTTTGGCATTAAAGATTTAGAAGTAAACTGACAAAAAAAATATGTCAGAGAGCACAAAACCTCTAACAGTGAAACTACATTCTTCTGCTGTGCCGTCTGAGGGGAAAGCATTAAACATTGTTCATTGGTACCATTGTCCCTCGGTACCTGCAAGGGATTGTTCCAGAACCTCAGGATACCAAAGTCTGCAAATGCTGAAGTCCTTATATATAATGGCACAGTAATTTCATAAAACCTATAAAAAGCTCCAGCACTTTAAATCATCCCTGGATGGCATGCAATGCTGCCCCAGTGTGAATGCTGGGTACAGTTGCTACAATTTATCACTCAGGGACAGCTAGAGGAACTTGTTCATGTTCAGTGCAGACATATTAACCTGGAGTGGGCCGAAGTCAGTGTGCAGAACCAGAGTGTGTGGAGGGCAGACTGGAAGGGCAGGCTCTACACACTCTTCCAAGCCTACCTTCTGCATCTTATCTTAGGCTCTGGGAAGGGCTTCGCTCACTGCTTTGTAAGTGAACTTTCATACCACTCTGTGCTTTTAACAACAGTAGAAGAGGCAATACTGGACAGCAGGGAGCCTTACTTCTTAATTTTCCTTTCCCAACCATCACCTTCCCTTTCTTTTAACTGAACTAAACCCCTAAGCCAGGTTCTCTGGCAGACGTTTTCCTCGGGAAGACCCCAGTGAATGGCTCTACCTTGGGAACTTCTCCATTGCTGCCTGGGGGTAGCCGCAGGATCCAGAAATTTCTGTTTTTCAGCAGATTCTCCATGTTCTCCAGGCGCCGCTGCAGCAGCCCGTACTCCTGCAGTAAAGTCCCCAGTACGACCCACTTGCTCTCCAGATGGTTTGCAAACTCCACAGCCGTTCTCTCACAGTCTGCTATCTTCTTCTCATTCGTCCCTGTCCTGCCCTCCAGGGTCAGCAGCCGCATGGCCTGGGCCTCCAGTTTCCTCTCCACCGCTTGGACGGCAGCCCACACAGCCAGGCGAGTGATCTCTGCGGTGGGCAGCGGCTGCTCCTTCTGGGTTGCAGAGGAGGCAGGAAAAGGAGTGTCCTTTTGCGAAGTGGGACTCTGGAGCAGGGCATCCATGTCAGTCTCCGGAACCGTGGGCGACAGAGTCAGCGAGTCTTTCTCAGGCACCTCAGGAGAGTGGGGTGGAGCTTCCTGATGTTGGATGGAGTGGGAAAGGAGAGGGGTCCCCTGACCAGCAGCTGAAGGAGGGTACTGGGTTTCTTCTTGGGAAGCCAGGGATACCTGGTGGTGTGTGTCTTGCTCAGAGGTGGCAGGATACAGGAGTGAAGGTCCCTTCTGGAGAACATGTGACATCTGGCCAGAAGTCTCTTGCTTAGGAGTACTGTCAGTCTGGGGCAGGGGACTTTGCCGGGGGGCGGTGGGAGACAAGGAAGGAATTTCTTTGGGGGGAAGAATGCAAGAAGGGAACACAGTTTCTCTGGGGAGTCCAGCAGGGGCCTGATGCACAGACTCTTCGTGTGGAACGCCGGAGAATGACAGAGGTGATGAGTGTTCGTCCTCCATGTCCAGCTGCTGGACCTGTGTTCAAGGAGAGAAGGACAGACAGCATTAAAGGTCACAGTCTCCAGCTGGCAAAACAAATCCAAGAAACAGGCATTCATGCTAAAATGCCCTCAGTTTCTGCAACAATAAGACATTCCAAGGAAGCAAATGTCTTCCGACAGTGGCACTGATGTAGACGTCGATGGTAAAGCTATTAGGGACACCACATAAAGGACGGCCATGCCACCTTCTGTTTCCCACAGAGCCATGCTTCCCCCGACACGTTCAGATATGATGAATGGTGTGCAGGTGGAAAGGGGATGGGGAGAAATCAGAGCACTCGGCTGCTGGTCCCATCAATACCTATCGCTGCCCTTTCCACTATAGCCTGCTTGTTTGTCTGCAGAGGCTGGGGCTTGGGGCAAGGCGACTGGCTTCTGCTCCAAGAAAAGGACACTGAGATATGGTGGCGGGTAACACAGGCAATTCAGCCTCCTCAGGAGTCCAGGTTTCCTAGGTAGATGGCCCACTGGGACAGGTGTACATTGCTGGGCTTGGCTCCCTCAGTGTGGCTCTTGAGGAATGAGGGAGAAGGCAGGCCTGCCATGAGAGAAGCCGTGCAGATATTACACTAGTTTTAAGTGTGACAAGGGTGTTAGGGACCAGAGGCAGAATAAAGATGTGGTTCCTTTTGGCACTCTGATCCGCATCTTGCCACATCCACATTAAAATCTTGAACCACGAGGAGCCATGCTCTCCCATGAGTGCCTCGTCCATTAATCTAGTCATTCAATACCTTTACCGGATCTACACGGAGTTTTCCTGTAACCATTTTTGTTCTTTTCTTCATACTATTCCTTCAAGGACTCCCTGTTCAGCCTCTGTGTTCTCTCAAGAGTGTTCTGTAAGGAAATTAACCCGCGCTCGATAAATGGCTGTGGAGTGAGTCAACTGTACACTGATAAGCTGAAAAGACTAGGTAAGTAACGAGGCTCCTTTTGCCATCTATGGACGACTCGTCTAAACGGCATGCCTCCCGCAGCTGTCTTTCTTACGGCTCCTCGTTGACTCACGTGACTTCACCACAGTAGCAATATACTTTTAAGCCAAGGACTGAAGATTTTGAGACCTTGTCCAGCACAGATCTTTGAGAAAGTACGACCCATAACTGTTATATGGGAGCTTATTAGGAGGGTAAATACTTAGGATTTATTATGTGCCATAAACTATGTAAGCGTTTCAAAGGATTACCTCACCTGAGCCCCACAAAACTTGATGAACTAGATGCTACTGGAGTTATCCACCTTTAGCCTACGAAAACACAGAAAATAGGAGAGGTCACATGTGCCTTGCCTCAGGTCACACGGACTCTAGGCCTCAATTATAGACAGGTAGCTGATAGGTGTGAGCCAGGTCAGAGGCTTGGTGATTTAACACTTATGGGAGGCTTACCACAGGCACATGGGGATGGAAGGCCCTATCCCTTAAAGACATTATTGATTATGGTGGTGTCGAGATCCCCTAGGAAACCTAATGCAAGCGATGAGTTGTCAACATACACAGAGATGCATACTTCTGCAAACACTGAAAGTGGTCAAGGACATCTTAACTCTCAGCCCTTGAGTTGGTAGCAAGACTAGACAGATCCCTTAGATGGAAGCCTCACTCACACAGGTAAAGAAACCAACAGAGCCAACACAAGAGGTACATTAAGTCTGTCTACCTGAGGGCTATTTGCCTACAATTAGTAGGAAGAAGGAAAAAATATCTGGAGGGCAGGTTAGATGCCTGCCTAACACAAGGTTTTAACTCAAACAGAAAAAAAGGCTCACTATAGTAAATAAAGCCAACAGGGCAAGACATCTCTATTAGCCAGTTGAATCTGAGCTCAAAGGAAAATAGTATATTTTGTTTCCTCTATTTAGGGACCTGGAGTACTGGGAAGGGGTGAAGAATCACAAGGCCAGTCTCTTTCCCCTTCTTCTACTTAAGTCCTGATACAATGTCATCAGTTCCAGTAAACCTGTGGCTTGATCTTACCCTTAAATAAAGATACCTAAAACGATAAAACGAACAAGCTCAAATCCTCAAACTCCTAGAAGAAAGAGGAAGAACTCCTCTGTGCCACAGTTCATAGATTCTACCTGTCTCTCTTTCTCCCTCCTTGTATGGTTAAGAGAATGGGGGCTCCAGGATCCATGCCAACATACTAGAAAAGCGCATAACGAAACACATCAGACTTCTTACAAAAGATGTGGCATTTTTCTTACATGACCCAGGATGGTTCCGCCAGAATTACATGCCATGAAAGGGTTCTGGAGACCTAAGCCCAGAGGTAGACAGGTTTAAAAAAAAAATCTTCGTTTTATTTCCCATGAGTTCTGTTATTGTTATTTTAAGAACTGCGAGGCTTTTAGAAAGCCATCTATCCCAGCTCTTCCTGAACACATGGGAAACAGGCTCAAAGGCACGGACCCCCTGCAGCAAACCTGCCTAGCAGAGATAGGGTGCCTCAGAGAGCACGTTGGGTGGGAGGGTGTTTAATTACTGAATGACCCTCTGAAGTGGAACGTCAACCTCTTAGGTGCTCACTCGCCAGACCCCATCCATCCATACCCCAAGTTTGACTCGGGGCCCTCCTGATGCAGACGCTGTGGGTCACAAGGCCCCCCACATCAGAGACGCTGGGCTGGGCGCTGCCCGGCCTTCCCCTCCTCCCCCGACGGGCCGCAGCCAGTGCTCAGCCAGCCCAGGCCGCCCACCCCGGTGAAGCCGCCGCCAGCGCCGCCCCCTCCCCGTCCAGGCCCGCAGCACGCAGGGCAGGCCTCAACGGGGCTGCGGGCACCCAGCCCGGGCCGACTCGCTACGTGACCTTGGGGCAGGCAGGGCAGGTCGCCGCCGGGTGTCCGTGCCTCAGTGTCTCCGCTCTGCGAAATGGGAGAGCCGCGTCAGCGCCGCGCCCAGGCCGGGAGCCGCTCCGCGGGGCCGAGCTCTGCGGAAAACGTGCCGCCGGCCACCCCGACGGACGCAGCGCCGACTCCGCAGCCAGGGAGCGAGCGCGCCGCCCGCGCCCCACCTCGGGCCGCGTGTCCGGGCGCGGTGCGGCCGCGCAGCCTCGCACGGACGGCCGCCGCTCCCGCCTGCCCCGGCCGGCCTCCCCCCCAGGGGGCGCGCGAGCCCGCCAGGGCGCCCCCTCCCCGCTAACGTCGCCGCGCCCGGCCCTTACCGAGACCCCAGGCCGGGCCGCCGAGCCCGGAGCACGCAGGCAGTCCCCCGGGCCCCGAGGCCGCGCGTCCGTGCGCGCGCGAGCTGCCCTCCCCGGAGCCGGGGCCGCCTCGGCCATGGCCCTGCGCCGCCCGGCCCGCGCCGCGCAGTCCCCGCCGCCGCCGCCGCCGCGCGCAGTCCCACGCAGGCCCGGAGTCGTGGGCGGGCTGGCAGCGCGGCGCGGCCTGGCCTCGCCCGCCGGGGCTGCGCGGCCGTCGGGCCCCGGCCTGCTCGGGGCTGCGCGCGGCGGGCGGGCGCGGGCGGCGGCGACGGCGTCGGAGCGCGGCTGTGCGGACTGCTCCCCGGCGGCAAGCTGGGCCCCGGCGCTCCGCGGCCGCCCCCGGCGCGCTCGCCCGCCCCGAGCGGCCGACGCTGCGACCCCGGCTGCGGCCCGGGCCCCGGCTGCGAGCTGCGCGGCCGTCCCGGCGCCTCTTCAGCAGGGGAGCTGCACCGCAGCTGCCATGTTGCTACAAACTGCATCCTGGGAGGCATGTCCCTCTCAGGCGTTTCAAGAGGAGCGCTCGGAGGCTCGTCGGAGGCGGCCGGAACCCAGACAGCTCCATCTACAGCCGGTAGGAGCGAACAGTGAGGCGCGGGCCGCCGCGGCGCCGGACACGCCCTGAGCCCGTCGCGGCTCCCCGGCCCTCGCGGCTCACCTGGCGTCCTGGCGGCCCGGCGCCCTCGGGCCAGGCCGCGGCTGGCGGCGGCGGCGGCGGAGCGGAATCCGGGGCGCGCGGCCCGCGCGGCGCGTTGGCTCTGGAGGCGGGCCGATGGGCTCCGACAGCCTTCCGCCGGCGGCCGCCTGCGCGTCTCAAACCCAGAACCCGGTCGTTGGCTTTCAAAACCTGCGCTCACAAAGGGATCGGAGAGAGCCGTCACACCAGAGAAAGCCGGAGTTCATGTGACCAGCGCGGTGCAGCCCGGGTTTCAGGGACGCGGGCTGTGGATCTAAGGGGAGCGAGGGGTGGGGGTGGGAGTGCTTTGTGAAAAGCCTCAGTGTTGTTTTCGGCCAGAAAGGACAGAATTCCTGGAATCCTTGAGGGCACCGGCTGGAAGGGGCTAGACGGGCTGCTTGGGAGGAAACTGAGGCCGAGCGGGGAGCGGCTTGCTGACCCCAAGTTGCTGTTTGGCCCCCGTATACACAGTGCTCTTTCCAACGTGACAGATGACCCTCTTTCCTAGACAGGTTCACGGAAACGCGTGTTTGTTGAATGCCGAGGAGCTGGCAAGATCTGGGAACGGAGTGAAAAAAGAAAGCGAGCAAAAAAGTGAGCAGGTGCCCTGGTTAAGTTAGGGATGCACCCCAACTGGAACCGAGAGGAAAAGGCAGAATAATTTTTTTCACTTCATGGAACCCTGGGGATGTCGGGGTTGGAACGGGTCTTAGAAGGCAACATGCAGCTCTCACTAAAAAAACGGAGACGAGGCCCGGGCCGTCTAATTTACTCCCTCCAGTCTGTCTATGAATTGCCTGTCAGTGTGCATCCGCAGTGTACCCTACTGGGTTCGGTGTTCTTGAAAGTTTACACAAATGCTCTTTATTCAGCCCACATCCTGTTGCAGCTTTTTGTTTTCACGGCCAATTATTGTTATTTTGAGATACGGCATGTGTAAACAAGTCTGTTTGGTCCATTCGTTTTAACCACTGTATAGTATTTCATTATCCTTTGGGGGGAATGAAAACAACCCAGCTGCCAGGAGGCCGCATACACGTGACAGGCATACGTGGCCCTTAGTGCTGTTCACCAGATAAGGACCAGTGGGTGGCAGGAGTCCCTTCAACTCTCCCAGGCTTCAAACTGCTCACCAGAGATGGTGCCACTTACCTTACCACCTAGCAGTGCATGGCTTCCTGTTTTCATGTGCTGGCCAACGGTCACTGATAAGTGATTTGGAAAATTTGTCAAAAAGTTGAATGAGAAATGCAACTTACTATTACTTGTGTATGATGCCCTCATTAAAGAAACTGTCTTTTTATATTTATAGCACTCAATAGTTTTCTCCCCCTGTAAAGTTCTCTTCGTGTCCTTTGCCTGTTCTGTTGGGTGTTTTTTCTCCCATTGGTTTATAGTGTTTTATATAAAAAATACATCCTGGTTATTAATCCTGTCACCTACCAGACATTTAAAGACATTTAATGTAACCAGTGCACTTATTTGTTTGTTTATTGAATGCAGTGCTGAGCCCCAGGCTTCGTGCATGCTAGAGTACTGCTCTACTGCTGACTTACATCCCAGCTCTTATTCTTTTTCTAATTTGTATGTGTGTGGGGCGGGTGTGGGCACACACATGCGGTGAGCTCCAGTAGGGATCACAACTTCTGGAGAGTTGGCTCTCTCCCCTCATGTGAGTTCCTAGGATTGAACTCAGGCTATTAGGCCTGGTGAAGTACAGTACGGCATTTCAACATTGCAGCTTGTCTATACAACATAGGTCAGGACAACTGGCTTATTCTTGAGTTCACCTTTACCATTCTTAGTGTTGGGTCTACCCAGGATTCTCCTGGCTAAGGCCTCAGACATGCGAGGCAAGCCCTCCACTACTGAGCATCCCCAGTGCTTGCTGGCTGTTCTGAAATACCCAATAAACTATAGCCACAGTTTACTCTGCTCCACTTTAGACTAAGATGATCCTGCTTAAATCTACCATCTTATGAGTTATTTTCTACCTCTTACAGATGTTCGAAGATCTCCCCCCCCCCCCCCCGCTTTTATAGGCTAAGTAAATTAGCATTTCCTTTTTTCTTTTCTTTTTTCTTTTCTCTTTCCTTCCTTCCCTCCCTCCCTCCCTCCCTCCCTCCCTCCCTCCCTCCCTCCCTCCCTCCCTCCCTCCCTCCCTCCCTCCCTCCCTCCCTCCCTCCCTCCCTCCCTCCCTCCGTCTGTCCGTCCGTCTGTCTTTCTTGAGACAAGAGTCTTACTCTGTAACTTAGGCTGGTCTGAATTCACTGCACCCCAGCAACCATTCACCGGCAGTGTTGCCCCGGCTTCCCAAGTGCTGGCTTACAGAAGTGACTAGCACCCTGGCAACATTCTAGTTCTAAAGTTACCTCTTGCTTTTCACCATTTACTTGTTAGTTAACACTTCATTTTAAGTGGGTGCCTTAAGTTATAGACTGTAGGGTCTTTGTGCTAGTAGTTTTTGTCAACCTTGACACAAGTTCCAGTCATTTAGGAAGAGGCGACCTCAGCTGAGAAAAGGCCTCCAGCACAGTGCTTCTCAGCCTTCCTAATGGCTGCAACCATTTAATATAGTCTCTCATGTTGTGATGACTCCACCTGTAAAATTCTTTTCCTTGCTACTTCATAACTGTATTTTTGCTGTTGTTATGAATTATAATGTGAATATCTGTGTTTTCTGATGGTCTTAGGCCACCTCTGTGAAAGTGTCATTTAACCCTCCCCAAAGGGGTCACGACCCATAGGTTGAGAATCATTGCTAGCAGATTGGCCTGTAGGCAAGACTGAGGGTCATTTTCTTGATTGATGATTGATAGTTATGGGTGATGCCAATTCTGGGCGGGTGGTCCTGGTTTGTATAAGAAGGCAGGCCGAGCAACCATGAGGGGCAAACCAGTAAGCAGCAGTTCTCTCCAGATTCCTCCCTTGAATTCCTGCCCTGAGTTCCGCACTTGATGAGGTGCTCTTACGTGGTGTAAGCCAAATAAATCATTTTGTTCCGAAGTTACTTCTGGTCATGGTTTTTATCGCTGGAGAGCTGGCTCAGCAGTTAAGAGTACTTGCTGCTCTTGCAGAAGATCTTTTTTAAAAAATTGTATCTGGGGTAGGAGGATGGTTCAGTGAGCCATCTTTGGGCACATTTGCCCTCGAGCCTGGTGACTATAATTTGGTCCTTGGGATCAATATAGTGGAAGAAGAGAACCAATTTCCACAAGTTGCCCTCTGACCCTCCACACATGCCTCATGGCACCTTCCACCACAAAATAAATAAATGTGAAAAAAATATCTAGGAAATTGTATCTCTACAGATCTTTTTCTTCGCCATTATTCCCCAAACAATACTGTATAGCAAGTATTTGCAAATCGTTTGCATGTATTAGATAGAACTGATCTAGTGATGACATATAGTATATGAGAAGGCACATCTAAGTTCTGTATAAATATACTGTTACTTTAGATAAGAGCCTGAGCACCCATGGGTTTTGGTACATGCAGGGGTCCTAAAACCAATAATCCCACAGTTTAGGGTGCTGTGTTATCTGAGGCCTTGGATCCACAGGGGCCTTGGACTGTGTTCTCTTGCATATCTTGTAGGAATGTAGTTTTCTCTGTTTCTCAGTATTTTGTTTCTTACACTGGTGTGTTTGTTACTGTAATTGTATGTACTCTTTGTATTACTCCCCCTTGGGATTACCGACTTTATATTTAAACATCAATGTTATATGTTCTGTAATCAGATGAAATTTTGCTATGAACTTCCCATAGAAAAGATTGATCTGTTTCCAAACTGCCCTGAACTGGTCTGATCTCAGAAACTAAACAAGGTCAGGCCTGGATAGTAGTTGGATGGGAGGGAGGATTGCTTCCCTAAAACACTATTAAGTATTTTACATTTTCTTCAATAAAT